GAATTATGGCTTACCAATTCACCAATTGACTCTGAGCATGCCAAGTGCAAAACTTGAGTGCAGCTGATAAGTCCATTATCACAACACACCATGATCTCACACCCTACTACGAACCACCCTATTTCTCAAAGTCTCCTTCTCAGCTGTATACTAAGCTACACCCAAGTATAATAATGTGGCACATCAACTTTTCTTGGTAGATTTTTTCAAAAAATCCAACACTGCCGAATGAAATGTGAATTCAGACTCCTGGTCAGTCTCTGAATTGGACTATTAGTAGGGCACTGCTACCGTTTTCACTTACCACACAATGGTTCATTCTCCTTAAAAGGACCACAGGTATAAAAATATCTAACCCAAATTCTTTATGCAATTATATTAGTGGCAACAGAGACATCTAAAACTGTAAGTCTATGTTATCAGTGAGTACAGCCTCAAATTTGTCTTTTTTTTACTAAAGAATCATACTGCACACAAGGCACATTTGATATTGGACAAAAGACAAAGTTTTCTCATCTACAGTTGCATATTAGTCACCAGGATTGACTCTCATGCTGGTAGCCTGGCCTGTGCAGCACTCGAAATTTCTGATCCAAATGAACTAGTCCAAGAACTTTATTATTTTGATGAGAACATACTTGAGAAGAAAAAGATTAAGGAAATACTGCTACTTAGATGTAAGCATCTCTTTGTATGAATCTATTTCTAAGAACTTTCTCAATCCCCACAGCTTCTGTGAGAAATGTTGGCTTATACCAATTATCTACAACCCTACTAAATTAGGCATTGTAGAATACAGAAAAGCACTTTACATCAACTTTCAACAATCACAAGAACAACAAAAATGTTCACCTCACCCCTTATTTCAATCAATTTCAAGGATTCCACCCTTATTCCCTACTTTCCAACTCCTTTACAAACAAATCTCCAACAACCCCTACATTTCCACATGGACCAGAAAAAAATCTTAAGGCTTTTATGTTGCACTTACTCAAAATTCACGAGTAGAAAAATTTACTCTTGAATCGATGCTCCCCAAAAGCTGAGTGTCCCAATACTGAGATTAACAATCATTTTAAAGCCTAGAAATTTTCCACAGGCACCTTCTCAAACAGATAGACTGAAACTTATCTCTGTTTACACAGGACATGAAACTGAGGTGAACTGCTCAGGTTTCTGTGGCCCAACCAGGATGCTAAGTCATACTTTCTGTATTCCTAATCTGTTGAGCCATGCTGTCTTCACTACCAAAAAAAAAAAAAAAAATGCATGTCAATAGTATATGCATCATGCACAAATCATAGAAATCCAACTTATTAAAATATATGAAAATCATCACACCCAAAATACCTCTTGTAAATACATCAAAGTAACTGAATCACAAACTAAGCAGTTGTGCTGATTGGTCTAGTCACCAAAGGGGAGAAAATATTCTTAACTTCCCTTTCCTCCCCAAAAGCACCAAATATTCGTTTGTTGAATGTACCGGTTTTCCTTACAAGAAAACTATATATGCATACTATCTTTTAGCTGTGAATACACAAGCTTAAGGTCACTACTCAGCTGCTTACAGAACAGATTACCCCATCATCTCTACTTGTGTGTACCTACCTATCAAGTTAAAGCAAGGCCTCGTTAGGAACGGACGACTAGCTCATCCCTCTGCAGCCTTCTAGAGTTTACAAAGCATTCCTGTGAACAACAGCCACACAGAGAAGTTGCAAAAGTTTACAGTTTATTTTAAAAAATTTGCTATCCCTTGCCATGCCTTGTGCTATAGCAGTTATTGCCCTGTGGTGGTATTGCCTGGTGGTAATAAGGGCGACCAAACTGCCTGGATGAAATCATGACTCACTCCACCACTCTGTACGTCAGCAAGTTACTTCAGCTTCTATTAATAAGTCTCCTCATTCATAAAAGGGGTAAAAGATGGCCCCTAACTCCTAGTTCACGGGCTTGCTGAATGAATGGAGGTAATATGGGTAAAACATGTTTAGCACATTGCCTTGCACAGGAAGAGCACTTAATACTGGCTTACTATTACTCCTCCTGCTACTCCAATTATTACTCTCATTACCATTCATGGAAACATTAATGTAGGGTTGGTGGACTTATTTACAATTATTGTTAAATAGTTCTGATCTAATATTTTTTGGTCCCAGGTCAATGCTGCTGCTAAGTTGCTTCAGTTGTGTCAGACTCTGTGAGACCCCACAGACGGCAGCCCACCAGGCTCCGCTGTCCCTGGGATTCTCCAGGCAAGAACACTGGAGTGGGTTACCATTTCCTTCTCCAATGCATGAAAGTGAAAAGTGAAAGTGAAGTCTTAGCGACGCCATGGACTGCAGCCCACCAGGCTCCTCCGTCCATGGGATTTTCCAGGCAAGAGTACTGGAGTGGGGTGCCATTGCCTTCTCAATGCTAATTAATGCCAATTAATGAAATGTCTGACATTTATAATGTCATTCCTCCTTAACTAGAAGGTCTTCCCTTCTCCACCTGTCTTAAGTTTTACTCATTCTTCAAAGACCTACTCAGAATACTTGGAGATGAAGACTTTTCAGATACCTCCCAACACAATGATGCTTGAGCTGAGCTCAGCCTATCCATTACCTAAAATATTCAGTGGGTAATTAATCACACATTGGCATGGATTCTTTTTGCTTTTCGCCCATTATTAACTAATGCATAGTGTTGTGATTTTCATGTGTTTATGTTTTAAATCCTAAGTCAGTATAGTTCTTGAGGTTAAGAATCATATCACAATGCTTCTTTCTATCATGGACTGGAATTTTGTGCATAATCCACACTCAATAAATATGGTAATAGATGAGTTTCTTAATCACTTCTGATTTTTCATATCAAATATATTTTTTAAAATATGGAAGGCAGGAATATAACAAACAGATTAGTTATGAAAATGCTTCTTAGCTACCACTGAAATACTAATTATGTCTACCTCTCCATGGGGATTCCAAAAATAAGACAACACATGATAGAGCAATGAATCAGTAGCAGAACAAAAATTCTTGCTTCCAAGCACAAGTTCAATTCTTCCACAAAAACTATGGCCACAGTAGATTTAAAATTGAATATATGATTTTGGTATCCATACTACACTGTATATCTCATACATAAGATTTAATAATTTATGCCATTCTTCAGATCAACAGACACAGCATGGTAACTAAAAATGAATATATGTGCATTGCTGGTGAAAATGTAAAATGGTGTACTTGCTACAGAAAACAGTATGGCAGTTTCTCAAAAAATTAAACATGGAATTACATATGATCCAGCAATCCCATTTCTGGGTATATATCAAAAGAATTGAAAGCAGGGACTTGAACACCAATATTCATAGCAGCATTATTCACAATAGCCAAGGATGGAAATTACCTAAACATCCTTGGGCAGATAAATGGATAAGGAAAACGTAGAATGTATACACAGTGGAGAATTATTCAGCTTTGAAAAGGAAGGCAATTCTGACACATACTTCAATATGAAGGAACCTTGAAGACATAAACCTAAGTGAAATAAACTAAACACAGAAGAACTACTACTATATAATTCCACTTATACAAAGTGTCTAGAGTAGTCACATTCACAGAGATAGAAGTGTAATAGAATGATGGTGGCCAGGGGCTGGGGAGAGTGGGTAATGGGGAGTTTCAGTGTGGAGACATGAAAAAGCTCTGGAGAGGGATGGTGGGGATGGTTGTACAACAATGTGAATGTACTTACTGCCACTGATACATACACTTAAAAATGGTTAAAATGGTACATGTTATATATATTTTACCACAATAAAATTTCAAAAATCAAGGAATAAATAAAATATATTTTTAAAAAAAGATGAATACAGGTCAAGTCTAAAGTGTCTGGTTCTTACTCTCTCAGCATACTTACCAAATTGATGCCAACAATTCACTTAAGGATCTTCAATAGTCAGTGAGGGATAAATTAGCCAAGTCTCAATAAACACATTTCTAACAGATATGATTTATAACGTACACAATCGTATCTTTTTTTTTGGACTCCTTTACTGATGTTCACATGGGAAAATGTCACTAATGGATGAAGGATTAATAGAGATACCATTTAAATTACAATCTCCAAAGGGACTTGCCTTTATAAAATGTATGCCTTAAGTTACTAATAGTACCTATGAGGAAATATCATCCTCATGTAAGACATAATAATATGGTTTAATAATCTAGACTTGTTTCCAACATTTTAAAGGTCACAATTCTTTCCTAAAATTCTCTATTCATTTACCTGTGAATTAAATAACAATGTAATAATAATAAAAAATATTCTCAATAATGAACTATCTTCACTGAGATAATGCTGTGCTTAGTTGCTCAGTCGTGTCCGACTCTTTGTGACCCCATGGACTGTAGCCCGCCAGGTTCCTCTGTTCATGGGGATTCTCCAGGCAAGAATACTGGAGTGGGTTGCCATGCCCTCCTCCAGCAGATCTTCCCAACCCAGGGATCGAACCCAGGTCTCCTGCATTGCATTCTTTACCGTCTGAGCCACCAGGGAAGCCCACTGAGCTAATAGCATCTGTCAGCTACAACCCAGTATATGAGAGAATCATCGCATCATATCATTCTTTTAAAATAAATATTATAAATATATGTGTAAGTGTTAAGAGGAAAGGGAAAGTGCTAAAGTTGCTGAAAAACTGTCTCCCCAGATTTCATAATACAGTAGAGCCTCATTATTAGCAAATTCTTTATTTGCAAATTCACCAACTCAGATTAATTTGTAACTCCAAAATCAATACCTGCAGCATTTTCACGGTCATTTGCAGATACTCTCAGAGCAAGAAAAAATGAGTCGCCTGACAGTATGTTTCCAGCTGAGACAGAAAAAAGGCGTCACTCTGACTTCTTGTTTCAGCTCTCATACTGTAAACAAGCATCCTTCTCAGGAACTATTTAGTGCCAGGTATTTTATATTTTTGTGCTTTTCTGTTGATTTTACTATAGGAAAAGGCCCCTCAGCACATTGCTGTGTGCCTAAACACAAGAAGATTTTGATGTACCTTATGGAAAAAACAGGTGTTAGGTAAGATTTATTCAGGCACAAACTACAGAACTGATCACTATGAATCCAAAGTTAATGAATCAACAGTATATACTGAATATAGTGTCTTTAAACAGAAACACATATTAAACAAGGTTAGGTATTAATCACTTAATGAAAATGTGAGCAAAGACTGGCAGTACCCTAACCCTACATTTCCCCTGGGAACAACGGTTACAAATTTACTAATTTGGTATTTATGGCAACTTTACATAAATACCATGAATAACAAGAATCAACTGTACTTTGTAAAGAAAACTCTGGAGAGAAAAAAAATGGATCAATGGACTTGAATGGATAGTCCAGAAACAGGTCTATGTAAACCTGGCTACAGGCAGCATAGAAATTAGCAGGAAAAAGTTAAACTACACAAGAACTGCCCCAGGACAAGTGAATACAGATCTGGGAAAATGAAGGGGAATTCTTCATCTCACAACACAGAAAGGTTCAATCCAGCTAGAATGCTGAAAGCAAACTTTACCGCAATGAGAAAAAAATAGTTATTTTTTTAAAAATAAGAAAACATCTCTAAGATCTTGATTTTGGGAACTATTTCATAAGCAAAACACAAAAAGAACCCATAAAGGAAAAATAAAATGGAAAACTTTTGATCATCAAAAGATATTAAACACAGAAAAAGATTAGCTAGAAACTGGAAAAAGATACTTGCAACACATGTAATTAATACAGAGAACTAAAACCAGTAAGAAAAAGGCAAATGATGCAATAGAAAAACAGACAAAAGACATGAACAAGTATTTAACAGAAAATAAAATTCAAAATACTAATAAATATATGTAAAAGATGTTCAATAATATTCAAAGACAAATTAAAATCTCAATGAACTATCATTTTACAAAAACTAGTAAAACTTAAAAATTCTGACAATACCAAGTGTTGGAGAAAATGTGGAAGAACAGGAACTCTTCCACTGCTAGAAGGAAAATAAATACCTTGGGAAACCATTCATCATCATTTAGTGAAGCTGAATATGCACATTTCCTATGACATAGCAATTCTCAGTTTAACTTTACAGGAGCTTGTAATGTATACCAAGAGAAAAGCACAAGTGTCCACAACAACAGTATTGTTTGAAATTACAAAAACCCTGGTGAAAAAAATGCCCTTACATCCAAGAATAGGCAGCTGGATAAACTCCATTACATTCATAAAATGTTTTCACAGCAATGGAATTAATAATTGGTCATTCATTATGACTGCTTCCTTAGCAACACAAATGACTTTTAAAAACACTGTTAAATGGATAAAATAACCTATCACAAGAATAATACAGAATAATTCCACTTAAAATTCAAAACATAGAAAATTTATCACTGCACAGGCACAGGTGGTAACTGTAAAGAAAAGTTAGAGAATAATAAACAAAAAATTCAGAATTATGGTATCCTTGGACAGTGGGGGTGAATAACCAAGGAGAGGCACATAGGAAACAAAATCAGAATTCTTAATTTCCTCAAATCTGCTCCTCCTCCACTAGTTCCCACCGGGAGAGTTATATTTTTCTCTTCCTCTCACACCCCCTGTAATTAATCAACCTTTGTGTGTTAGTCACTCAGTCATGTCTGACTCTTTGTGATCCCATGGACTGTAGCCCACCAGGTTCCTCTGTCCATGGGATCCTCCAGGCAAGAATACTGGAGTGGGTTGCCATTTCCTCCTCCAAGTGATCTTCCCTCTCCAGGGATCGAACCTGGGTCTTCTGCATTGCGGGCAGAATTCTTTACCTTCTGAGTCACTAACACTCCAATTCTGCCCAATTCTTTCCATTTCCTCTACTTTACTCTGGGTTAAGCCTTCATTAATCTCTCGCTAGGACTGTGGCAATAGCTTTCTCTTAAGCCTCTCATGACTGTATAATTTATTCTCCAAGATCATCCAAGTGATCTTTCAAAATATAAGTCATGTCCTTTAAACTCTCCAAAGGCTTCTCTTCACAATCAGAATAAAATTCAGTCTTTACCACAGCCTTCAGGGCTTCATTTTACCTGTTCTGTGCTTACCTCCTCCCACCCTTTTCCTAGCCCACTAGGTTTCAGCTGGCTCAGCTTTCTACTTCTCAAACCTGCCAAGTTGATCCCCCTCTTAAGGCTTTTACAGGAATGCCCTTTTCCTGGCTCTTGGCTTAGCTGGCTTCATCTCAGCATTTAAATCTCAAATAAATTCAAGCACAAATGCTACCTTCTTAACCAAGTCGCCTCTGACCACCTCATTAAATATGGCAACACTGCCACCAACAAGCACTTATCACTTCACTCTGTTTCATTCTTTACAGCACTTATCACTATCTGTTAATTTAGCAGTAAATTCCACCAGAACCCAAGTCCCACAAAACCAGGGATCTGTCAGTTCAGTTCAGTGTAGTACAAAGCAGCATCAGGCAAGTGGCAACAAATATTTGTTGGATGAATAAAACAGTGAATTTTACTTTGAATAACATGAAGCAGTACTTTCTGACAGTGATATAAAAATCAAGAACACCAATGAGAAGTATTACAGATGGAAAGGAATTTTGAAAACTATGTGTCTGTGAAAGTGTGTTCCTCAATCATGTATGATTCTTTGCGATCCCAAGGACTATGTAGCCAACCAAATGCCTCTGTCCATAGAATTCTCCAGGCAAGAATACTGGAGTGGGTTGCCATTCCCTTTTCCAGGGGATCTTCCTGACCCAGGGGTGTGTTTATGTGTGTGTGTGTGTGTATACACACAGAAGTCTGCACTCTCCTTCAGGGAGATTAAGGGGGAGAAAAAAATCTAACATGCTAATTTGGCATCAATCATTCTAAAGAAGGAAAAAACACATTTTTATGACTTTATATGCCATACAGAATTCATCAACTGTCAGTCTACAATGGAAATGAATCTTAAGCTGGAATTGTTAAAAACATGAATAATTTGTGTATTCACAATGACTGACATAAAGTCTATTCTCGTTTCATTACTTTGATGACCCTTGTTATGATCAACATGACAACAGCACATAACACCTGCTGAATTCACTATGTGCTTGGTACTGTGTTGTTTTATACATGCTATTATTTAGTTCCTCATGACACCTTTATCAGAGGCACTGTTACCAACCCTATTTTACACATCAGAGAACTGAAGCAAAGAGAGGCTAGTCAGATGGCTAACCAGTGAAAGACTCAAATCTAGGCTGCCTGACTGCAAAGCCCTAAAATTAAACCATCTGCTGAACTGATATTGATCAATTCACTTAATTTGCTAAAAAACTGTATGTGTATCTATTGTAATTTTATGCATCATGCTAGGTCAGCAATTCTTAAACATTACTGTACATTAGAATCACCTGGGCAGATTCCTAGATTCTGATTCAGTAAGTCTAGGGTGGAATTTCCAGAGATTTGCAATTTTAACTGTCTTGGTCCATGAACTTATACTCAACTCTGTGCAGGGTGTTCTACAGATTTGAGGATGTATGAGCTTCCTGTCTCAATCAGCTTACAATCTAAAAGGGATAGAAATCAGACACACAATTGGTAAATATACAGTGATACAGGAGAAGTAGTATCAACAAAACAGCAAGAAAGACTTCAAGGAAGAGGGATCAGCTCTAATGAAATGAAGATGAGCAGGATTTCATGAAATCCTGCAGACTTTCAGGAATAATGCTACATGCAAAGGAAGGATGGAAAAGCAGACAGCTTGGCAGGAACAGAGGATCTGCATTTAGGGATGGAAAAATAATGTCAGTGAAAAGCAGAGGCTGTAGAATGCTCTCTATGTCAACCTAAACACTATGGGTTTTATTCAGTGCTGGCTCAGGGAAATTGCTAATGGTTTTTGAGGAAGGAAATGATAAATCACAGCAATATTCTTTGGAAGAGTACTCTGATGAAGTTATGCAAAATCAAGTATATAGAGAACAATGGGAATAGTTAGGCTGGGAGAATTCCAATCTCAAAAAAATAAAAGCTAGAACATGGTACTGGAAACGATGAAAAAGGGAAGAATGGTACCTCCTGACAATGAACTGCATGTGGGGCAAAGGCAATAATCACAGCTATTAACAAATGATTTCTTCACCCCTTAAGTTCAAGTTGTATTCTGACCAGTTTCATGTTACTTTTTACAACATTTTCTTACACAACCAACTAAGCTCCAAAATACAGAGTTCACTTATTCAAAACACAGCCCATGACTAAGAAGTCAGCAAACATGCCTGCAAAATACATGTCACATAGTTCATATACTAAAAAAAAAAAAACACAAAAAAGTAGATGTATATATATTATACTTAATATATAATATATATAAATGAAAGAACATTATTAAGAGCCATATAATCTCATTTTACTCAAAGTTCTAACAAAGGTAAGCATCTGATTTCCAAACCCACAGCAGTTCAGAAACAAACATTAGAAGTGTAAAAGAGCCTGCTACAGACAGGTGGAAGAAGCTGAAGAACAGAAATGAAAACTATAAAAAAAAAAAGCACACAGAATCACTCAGGGTAAATTCTCCACAACTGTTTATTGACAGATACACATGATTGCCAGAAAAAATGGAATTAATGAGAATCTTCCTTAATGTCCCAAACATCTACCACACAAAGAAAACTTTTAAACATTTTAAAACAAATTTTTACCTGAGTAAAAGGTAACTTTTAAAGGATGGCTGATACATGCAGGCAGAGCAACCAATAGATAGTCAAAAAACAAAGGTAAGAAAGATGTATTTTATAATACATTAAGTTTGAAGATAATAAGAATGCTTTCCTAAAGCATCTACTCAAGAATGTGGCCCCACTGGTAAACTTCAGGCAATATTTTCCTGATGGCTGTGCTTTTGAATTCCAGGTTTCAAATAATATGAAGGCATCTTCAACAAAAATTAAAATGATTGAACTGGTCTTAAATATAAACTATAAATATGTACCTAATGAAATCAGGCAGCATCATTTGACACTCAATGTCCTGTAACAACAGGCCATGTGACACTTTTAAAAGGACATTAAACATGGTAACACATGAAAGCTTCTCACTTTGGTCACCAATACTCATTAACATTTATTATAATACTACTCACACAAGGACCTTATCTGTTTCAAAAACAGATGAAAATGTCATTTTCATGGGGAGAATTAAGATGTTAATTGACTGAAAGATATCTTTAAGTTTATGATTAAGTTACTAAAGCCAAGAACCTACACCTTAAATCATGCAGAAAAAGCATACAAATACATTAATTATTGGAGTAGGAAGAGTATGGGTTTCAGCTTGAGATTTTTTACACTGCAGAAAGGCAAATTAGTGTATAACATTGTAACATTAAAATAAAATTACCTTAAAGATGTTGTAGGGATGAATCAACTCTATGGAACTAGGCCTTTCATATTTCTCAGATCCAGCAAAGAACATAGAAAATTAAAAGCACATACTTATTTCAAAATTTCATCAACTGATCAGGCAAATTAAGACATCAAACATTATGGTAAAATTTGCTACACCTTCTAAATATGTAAACAAAAGAAGTAGTCACTTGCACCAGGGGGGTTCCACTCTCCCTCCCTACCCATCTCCTTATTATCATCCTTGTTCTATAGAAACATACAGGAAGACACTAATTGAAGCCAAAAAAATGTGCCCTGGAGACAGTTTGTCAAACTGCAAGTTATGACCCGTGTATCAATTTAGTGCACTTAGTATTTCTTAAAGAAAAAGAATGAAATATAATAGCAATTATCAGTATGCATCATTAGTAGTAAGAGTGAGTACTGCTTTGTGAAACTTCTTGTTCCTATGTGGGTATGTATGTACTAGACGATAATGAAAAACGTTCTTCTTAATATGGAGCATGATTTTTCAAAAGTTTGAAAGCTCCTAACCTAGAGATTTAGGTCAAATGTCTCTGGACCCAAAGACATCCATCAGCCCTCAGCACCTACACAATCTCTTGGCTCAAGATGGGCTCGTGGAAACCAATTTAAGAGCTCCGGGCAGCCAAAAAAGAATGAGGACACGCCCTAACTAAGCCCGAATTTGGACCTGAAAGAACTAACTTCCCCAAACACCAGCCCCAGGCGGTGCCTACAAGCTTCTGGTTACTTAGCAACCTTCAGAGAGCTCCTCCTCCCTCCCTGACTAGAAACAGTTTACTCTTCCAACCAACTTTCCGGAATTACTTCTAGAATCACTGTGCCCCAAGACAGTATCACCTCTCCTTCCCGTTTCACCAATTCCCAGTATGTCTTCCTAGAAGAGGATCTCGAACTCAGCAGAGAATGAAGCTCCTCACAGATCCTGACCCTTCTCCTCTCCCAGATCTCCGGACAGGGTACCCTCCTCCCAGGTCCCATCTTACTCCAACCGCCTCATTGTCAGTTGTCCTGGGGGCAAAACGATTCTCTCAAAAGCCCTTTTTAAACTGCCGCTTGCTTCTACGGGCCCCCGAAAGGAGCAGGCCTGGTGTCCCAGGAGCTCCTAACCCAACCGAATCTCCCTGGGGTCACGTTTTTTTTTTTTTTTCTTTTCTTTTTTGATTCAGTAGTTCAGAGGCAAGTTTCCTATTTCCCCAGCAGCCCCAGACATCTCCAATCTCCATCTCCTACCAGCCATGGGGCAGCTCCTTGTCCCCCAGGCCCCAGGGCACAGCGAGAAGCCCTGATTCTCCCAGGAACTCCGACAGCTCCCTCAGACGGCCCCCTCCAACTCAGGCTCCTCTCCCAGCCCAGGCCCTCCCCGCGCCGCCGCAGCGCAGGCCCGGCCCCATCCTCCAGCCGGCCCCGGCAGGTGTCCCATCCTCCCCTTTGCCCAGGCAGGCCTCGTCCCGCTCCTACTTCCTACTATTTCCTCGCACCGCACCCTGGCTCCAGAGGGGAGCCCCTCCGGCCTCGACAACCCGGCGGAGCCGGCAGGCCCGGGCTCCACTCACCCCTCAGCCCGGGAGGCGGGGGAGCTGCTGCGGCGGCTCCTCAGCCTGCGCCTCTCCTCCCCCCTCCCGGCCGCCGCCGTGGCCGCCGCTCAGCCTCGGCCTGCTCCCGGCCGGCCCCGGACCGGCTCCGCTTCACCTCGTCCCCAACTCCGGCCGCCGGAGCCCTGTGTCCTGCATTGACCCGGAAGCAGCTTTCCAGGCCCAACAACAACACGTGACCCCGCCGCACGTGTCACGTCCGCTGCGTGAATGGGAGGGGGCGCCGGAGGAGCAGGTTCTCCCGGACCAAGCTGAGGTTGCTGTGGCGACGGGGATGTCGCGGCCGGCCGGATAGTCACTAGAAACACACTTCATCACCTGCTTTTTCTCTTACCGGTCATGGGGGGACACCCTGGGTGCAAAGGAGGAGTACAAATTGTCGCATCAGAGTGGAATAGGGGCAAGTCAGAGCCGAGCCCGGGAATCTGAGAGGCTGCTCTCTTACAGAAAGGGGCAGCAAGCCGAAAGTTTCCAGACTCAGCTAGAATTTTGTCCTGATTCTGTCACTAGTTTACGGGTGACCCTAATCGGTTCCCCTCCTTTCTATGTCTTCAGTGTCCCTACTCGCGAGCTCTAGGCTGTAATCTAATACTGTCCCAAGATGCTTTTGTGTAAGGATGTGGTAGCACTCTGACCTTTTATTTCCTGTCCTTGTCGCAAGGTCTGCGGCATCCTGAGATTTCGGCGCTCCAACACCAATGTAGTGATTGCATCTTTCACTTACTGAGCCCCTTCTAGATACCAGGGATTGTATATAAGCTATTTCCGATTTTTTATGACCTTCCCAAAGTAGGAATTTTACAGAATTGAAAACTGAAATTCACAAAGGTTAAGTGATCTACCCAAGACAATTAGTAGAAGTGACCAGACTGAGATCGGAATTCAGGTCAGTCTGGCACCAAAGCCTAGTGCCCTCACTTCACATTATGCTACACTACTGCTCCAGCTCTATACACATTATATCTGACTGTTGGGCTGTGATGGTTTATGTACTTATTTGACCATTTCTTTTGCAAGAATAGACTGCAGAGAATTCAGTTTTTTAGGGATATTTTAGCTGAAGAGCTAGGAGTTGACAAGATCTTCATGCAAAAGGTGTGTGTGTTTTCATGTAGTGTGTGCTAGGGAGCAGGTAAGGGGTTGTGATGTGCATACATGGGTATTTATTGGTTCATAGAGTGGGGAAGACAAAATTCTTTGCAAGGGACTTGGTGGCAATTCCTGGGAACTTACTTCTCTTATTTTGTTTAGTTTTGACTTATCCCATAGGTAAGCCTTAGGGAAATTAAGAGAGGGGCCGGAAAAGAGTTGATTAAAGAAAATGTTCTGAAGATCAAGGAGAGGGTGAGCCAAGAAACTGTGGGGCGGGGGTGGGGGGCAGTTTCCTCCTTCTGCAGAGCACAGAGGGTCTTTCTGGCACCATAGGGTGAATGGCTTTGGAAGTATTAGGATCATTGACATGACCAACATCTAGTAGTTTCAGTGACAAGGACCATGAGAAGAACTGAGTGAAATATGCACAGAGGAGAAAGAGCAAGGTGGATACTACATGGATGCTTTACTGATAGACATACTTGTGAGCTTAGGTACCCTTGGGAACACTCAGAGAAACTTAAGATGTTAGATGTCCTATTAGCAACTAGGGGAAAAGGCAAGAAATGTGGGGTCATTATTGCTCACAAATACTGCATTCTGTGTATATAAATGCATATATGAGTACTGTATAAGATTGGGTGTGATTAGTTACAGTCAGCCCTTCGTAACCCAGGGATTCCATATCCACAGATTCAACCAATTGCAGATAGAAAGTATTCAGAAAAAAAAGAAAATTCCAAAAAGTAAAACTTGAATTTGCTGTGTGTAGACAACTATTTGGGCTTTCCTGGTGGCTCAGACGGTAAAGAATCTGCCTACAGTGCATGAGATCTGGGTTAGACCGCCTTGGAGAAGACAACTATTTACATGATATTTACATGTATATCATATTCAACCATTTACATAGCAGCTACATTGTCCTAGGTAATCTAGAAATGACTTAAAGTATATGGGAGGATATGTATAGGTTATATGCAGGTACTACACCATTTTCTATAAGAGACTTGAGCATCTGTGAATTTTGATATCTAGGAAGAGCCTGGAACAATCCCCCATGGATACCAAGAGATGACTATATGTACTTTGCTTCTTTGAGATGTCCTTGACTCACTTTTCTTTCATTCCCTTCTCTCCCCTTGTAGAGCATCCTCCTAAAGACAAGATCAGTGTCTCTACCCATCCCTTGTCTGTCTCCACAAGATAGACAAAATTATCTTTCTAAAACTCATGTGTAGGGACTTCCCTGGTAGTCCAGTAGTTAAGAATTGGCTTTCCAATGTGAGTTCAGTCCCTGCTGGGAGAACTAAGATCCTACATGCCTCAGGGCAGCTAAGCCCATACACCACAACTGGAGAGCCCACACAGGACATATATTAATTTTTTTAAAAACCTCTATGCGTGATCATGTTGTTCTTTGTCTGTTCTAATTCTGTCCATGCCCTGTTCAATCTGATAGGCACTAGCCACGTGTGGTTATTTAAATTAATTAAAATAGCATTTCATAAGTCACATGACACTAGCCGCATTTCAAAACCTCCGTGGCTGTGTGTGGCTGGGGCTACCATATTGGACAGCGCCCACAGAGACCATTTTCATGATCACAGAATGTCTGTTAGTGCTACTCTACCCCTTTGTCAATCCCTCGTGTTTATGTTCTATGAGAATTTGCTCTGCTAAGCCCTTTGCTTCAAACATTCTTCTTCTACCTCCTTGAGACTGAAAATGATATTTAACTGCTTATTTTCTTGTCTCCTTGACAAGCACTTAAGCCTCCATGAAGGTAGGAGCTAGATCCATTGTGTTCATCCTGGCTTCCGCATTATCTCTAAAGGACTGTTATATGCAAAGAGATGGCGGACAGGGAAGTTAAATGAGAGGATGTAACAGAAAGATGGTCATTTTATTAGAAATTGTTGGTAATTTGATTGTTTTGACCTACAAACGACAACTTCATATGGCTCAAGCTAATAATAAGAATGAACTTTCGAAAAATTGGATTGGGAATTCATTCATTCATTCATTCCAATGAGTTCCCTGTTACTTGGATAGGTTAGGCAAAGGAGAATTCTGCTATAATTCCTGTATCAGGACTTCCCTGGCAGTCCAGTGGTTAAGACTCTGCACTTCCAGTCCAAGGCACATGGGTTCAGTCCCTGGTTGGGGAACTAAGATTCCACATGCCATGCAGTGCAGCCAAGAAAAAATAAAAATAGTGATAATAATAATAATTCCTGGATCAGTTGGACTGGTTAACCAATCAAATTCTAAGGTTCTAAATCTATGGTCCTCCAACCAGTTCTTTATTTCAAAACTGAGTATGCTATAACAAAAATCATAGCTACTTCTTGAGTTTTTGTTATGTGCCAAACATGCTCAAGCTATTTCACATAGATTATTTCCTTTAATCCTCACAGTGATTTCTATGAAGTACATTTGGTGCCAGCATATTTGCCAGTTAAGACTCTAGAGAAATGATATACCTAATAATATACAGCTAGTCAATGACAGAGGCTTCATACATTTTTAGGTCAGTCTGACACCAGAATCTGAGTACACAGTAACACTGCATTGATGAGATGTAATTCAACAAGAAGTTTCAGCCAGATTTTTGCATGCTCTTCTAATTCAATAACTGGTTATTTTGTAATGGATATATGTCTTGCACCTAGCTAGGTGGTGTGGGGAAAACAAATATGGATAAGGCATTCTTCCTAAAATGTAGTTGGAAGATAATGCTTATACCCAAATAACAGTGATAAAGGACAGTTAAATATCTATCATTTTAAAAGGAGGGTGGGTTAGGGAGCCATCTTCTTAGCTAAAGACCTCTCCCAAGTAGGCAAAGGATAAGGACAGAATCATATGGGAATTCAATGTGAACAACATCAGTACACAGATGGGAACAGAGGGGAAGAGAAAAGCTACTGCTTCCCTTGAAAGAATAACAGCTGGTTTAGAAATTGAAAGTTTGCAATACTAGTCCTGGTTTTTACACTAACCAGCCTTGTCACTTGCTCTATTTCTGCCTTAGAGCTTTATCTATCAGATAACCTGAATTGAATAAGCTGCCATGGTGAATATATAGAATATTTTACATATATGTATTTTCAAGAGGAAGTGCCATAGTTTCCATAAGATTCCCAAAGAAATCACTACTCAAAAAACTTATAGGCTACATTATAGCTTTAAATTCTGCAATTCTGAGATTCTGTATTTTATTTTTGTCAACATCATTGATGTCTCTGTCAGGAAATGAACTGTCATGCCAAGCTCAGTGACCAAGCAAAGAGCAGGGATACTTTTATTTTAAACTGGAGACTCATATCTAGAACTATTTAGAAAGTATCAAGGTTTTTTTTACTGGACAGAATATAGTTTTTTTTTTAAAAATTCAGTTTGCTTTTCTGAGATGAACATAAATGTATCAGTTGTAAGAAGCTTAATTATCAAGGAGGCTTTACCTTTATAAAGATTGTTTGCTTCAAATTGCTGGAAACTTCACTAAACCCTCTTAGTTTTTATATTTCTGTATGTATAATTTACACACAGAAAACTGCACATACACAGTGTACATATATGAACAGTTCAATGAATTATCACAAAGCAAAAGCCCATATAACCACCAGCCTGTCGAGTCATAGCACAAGGCCAGTTTCCCAGTCTTCCCCCAGTCACTACATCCACCATTCTCCCTAAAGTTACTGACTATCCTTCTAATATTGTAGTTTATTTTTTCCTGTTTTTACACTTTGTATGTGTGTGCTAAGTGGCTTTAGTTGTGTCCAACTCTTTGTGACCCTGTGGACTCTAACCCACCAGCCTCCTCTGTCCAAGGGATTCTCCAGGCAAGAATACTGGAGTGGGTTTCCATGCCCTCCTCCAGGGGATCTTCCTGACCCAGGGATTGAATCCATGTCTCTTGCATCTCCTGTGTTGGCAGGCAGGTTCTTTACCACTAGCACCACCTGGGAAGCCCAAACTTTATATAAATGAAATCAAATGAGGTGACTTCCTTCACTTAACGTTGTGAATCTTCTACATTTTTTCAAACAGCTGAATAAAATCTTTGTTGCTAAATGGTATTTCATATTATGACCCACTATAATTTATTTATCCATTCACTATTGAAGGATGTTTGGGTTGTTTCAAATTTTTTATTATTATGCATAGTGCTGCTGTGAACATTCTTGTACTTGATTT